ACGGGGCATCAGAGGTGACTATGAGCGTTCTGCTGTCATTGAGGATCATAATGATTCTCAGGCGGACTTTCCACACGTACACAGTATCACCTGTTACAAAACACCACGAGCAGTCACCGTGATGCTGGTTGAAAGAGTGCTCCATATGAATGTCTCGTTTTAAGTTGTGTGACGGTGCTTCGAAAGCGTACAAGATAATTTCGATATGCCAACCAAAAACTGCTTCAGACGGTCGCAATTTCGCACATACTGAAGCTCCGGGCGTCGCATGGTAAATCTAAGGAATATTATCGATTATCTCCTTGGTACATTCTTGTCCCTCCATTTTAATCAGTGCAACCTCAAATTTTTCATAAAATGTCCGGTCCACCCATTTGAATGTGTATGACCGTATCTAGACTAGGACACTGATGATGAGAGAGACGCTTGGGACAATGCCGATCACCCGAAATGAACCGGTCCAATCTGACACGGGGCAACCGGGTCCAGACAATGATTCTCTATGTGAAGCGCGGTTACGCTGGTATTGAGGCTACGTGTTGGTTCAATACAGTTGTCGATGAGGTGAAGCCGAAATGAGAAGGTAAGTTTCTGAAGATTTTGGTTGAATGTCTGTGTTCTGGTAGGGTACAGATTAAAGACAACGCATTCTAACCGTGGACTTTTCAGTATGAACTTTCGCATAAAGCAGGCTGAAAATGAGAAAAGAATATGTGGAAAACCTCATAGCAGTGTGACGCGAAAGCTTACGTACCACAAGGCCACAAAGAGACGCCAAAATTGAAGGTTTGTCAATCTGCACTAGTTGCAGTAATTCCAGTGCAACAATCTGGAAAGTTGACAGATTTGCTGCGCTGATTTCCAGACCACAGAGTTGCACACTCCACCCGGTTAACCGACAAGGACAATTTACACCCCAATAACAAGTTCTGCACAACTGGATTTTGGACCAGATGCACGCCACATCTTCCCAGGTTGTACTCAAAGCGAAGCTGACTGGACAGCTACTGCTACGCTAAAATTATGGGGTCCTTTCTAATTAAAGGATAATGTGATAATGTAGGTACTGTAATTAGTGTCCAGTTGAAAT